GACGAACTTCATCCGCCGCAGCGCATTTCTCAAGGCCTTAACCCTCCATGTCCGGACGCCTTCCAGACTCCTGATATGACCTCTCCGGCAGTTGTAGGCGACCGAAAGATCTAGTCTGCCCATTGGGGATATCAGTCGACGATCATCGCCGACCATCTCCCGTCGTTAATTAAGCCCAGCTACCCACCCAACCAGAGGTAGCGTTTTCCTGCTGCTTTTGGCGGCAACGTCCTACACTCCTGATCTTCGTGCTGGGGATATGGTAGCGACATAAGACTCCCAACATTCCTCTTTCCGAGGCTCTCATAGCGGAAAAAGCTGACGCTCTTCGATTTTAGTGAGTTACCACGTCTCAGCCTTATAGCATTCCTATCAGGTTGGCAGAATTGAACAGGTTGGCCAGAATTCCTTTTTTGATGTTTCCTACATGGACGTCTTTGATGGAACGAAATGTGCGCTAACCAGCCGATTTTCGTTGACCCTTTCGAGCCTTATCAGCCGAATATGATCTCATAACTCAGTTTAATGTATTCATCGTCTTTTCGAATTTTTCACTGTTTGTTCTTATATGGGTCTTCGGCAGGGCATCCGATCTTAGTATCTTCGCCTTTGACCGATTGATTCGCAGGCCTACGTCTGTACTGTTTCTCTCGAGCTTCAGCAGCGTGTCCGGTAGCTGACTGACGTTTTCCGCAAACAGCGCACGAACCTTAGGGAGCTGACTTCTTCACTGTTGTTGTCAATCCAGGCCTTCCAAGAGACAATGAGGAGTTTGGAAGAGTCAGTTTCACGCACGTTTTAAGGAAATCTGCGGTGGGTGCCGAATGTCGTAATTTTTGTCAGGCAGTCAGAGTCCGTTTCCTTTAGGATAATGCAACAGTGTCTTTTCCCTCCTGCGTTAGTGCAATCTACGCTGCGTTATACTAACAGGCGACAAAGACCATGAACACAGGGAGCTGGAATTGACTCGCACGTTCGAGAAATTTACTGAAAGCAAGGCTGTTACCCGTTGCGCTGCATTGCCTTCTGAATCCTACTATATTTTTGGTTGTAGAGTGTCACTGCTGATTTGTAGAAGTGCGCATACTGGGCAACGGTTCTTCAAATCTTTCTTCTCGCCTATTTTGAGAAACACAATTGTTTTGACTCCTTTCAGCTTGATTGTATCATTTTCGTTGCCAGCTAGAAATTGAACTTCCACAGAACCCTCAGCAGCGTCGGAAGACTTGCTCTGATCATTTTAGTTGTCAGGCCGTCTCTTCATGAGGCTCTTCCTTCCTTTATTTGCTGCGCGGCTTGCTTAACTTCGGATATGAGGACCGGGAGTGCACTTCTTTCTTACAACTGGAGTGATGGTTGGGGGGAGGGTAGGCGTTTCCGCCCCTGAAAGTGCTGCGTATAAAAGTTCTTACTGATAAACTGCATCTGGAGTCTGTCAGACGTTAACGTCTTATACCCGTCTTTCAACGCTGTGATTGCCGAGCGATAGAGCGCTAACTCACTCTTGCCTTGTCTGTGGCTTCGATGGTTCTTTGGCTGTTTTCTCTAACGTTCGCAGTCTGTAGGCATCGAAGTTCTTCATGAGATGACTTCTAATACGCTTACAGTGAAGAGAATTATCAAATGTGTTGGTCCCATCTCTCCTCATCCCTCTCTGCTTCTCTAGCAATTTCTTTGTATCCTTCCTTCCTCTCTCTTTGATGTTCCACATAGGTTGAATTTACACCGTGCGTCAGTTCTCGGCCAACTTCTTGTAGTTGTCATTGCAGCTGCTTTTCAGGCTTGTCTTCGCTGGAAATTGGATATGGGAGACTGCCTCATCGAATACTCGGTCGTTGTTTGCGATCTGCCCTCTGCACTGCGTTCTTTCGATCTTCTCCTCGAAGTTTCGCCTGGCTCCCACCAGTCTGTAGTCGCTGCTGATGTTACTGTTGATGATGGTACTACTGTTATGTCACAGATGATATGGTGTTTATCCAACCGGACAAAATCAATCTCGCTTTTCGTTGCCTCTTTGGGTGCGGTCCATCTACACATCCATATCTTGATCTTCTTCTTGAACTAGATATTGCAGTTGTACAAGTGTTTCACTTCTGACATATTCACCAGCTGATCTCCTCGCTGATGTCACCCTCTAGTGCCGTACCTTCCGGCACGTTTTTCACTGATCCTTCCTCATCCAACTTAGACATTGACGTCTCACATGACTAAGGTACTCCTGAACTTTTGGGCTAGTTCTTATTGTAGTTTTTCATAAAATTTTTCCAGTTTCTCCTTGTCAGATGTGGGAACTTAAGTTCAAGGTGCTTTTCTTGTCGAGACTTGTTGTTTCTTTTGGGAGAGTAGCTTTTGCTGCCTACAACTCCGATCCTCATGTGTCTTTCTCGCTCTATCCTCTTCCTAACCAAATCGAGCTGTCAGCATTCCAGATGTCATTCGTCCCTTTCCGCCGTCGTGTCCTGTTGAGGCCGCCTTTCGTCCATTGGATGGTTTAACGTTTTTCCCTCGCCAGTGTTCCGCAGTTGTAGGCGCAAACATCGTGTCAGAATTGCAAAGGAGATTTCACTACTGAGATGGATCAAAGGTAAGGTCTTACTACTAGAAATGAAAGACAAAATCGGTTACTTTTGCGGTGGTCATGCGGCGTCTTACTCGACAACATCAGCATTACCGTACGCCATCACAAATTTGCTGTGCGATGCTGGCTTCATAGCAGACGAGCGCGAAGTGCGGTGTGAAACGAGTGAACGAACGAACGAAGAACTGTGGATTCTTGTGTGTTCCGCGATCGATATTTAGAGTTTATGTGCCGTGGACGGGCGGTAAAAAGGACTTTCATGGCTTCACACTTGACACGCAGAAATTGCAGCAAGGAGCAGAAGAGATTCATGATTGGTGCGTGACGGAAAATTTTGCTGTTGCCTTAATTTTGGACGAAGCGAACGGCAGGGTATATTGCCGCAGTCGGTATTATCGTTACGCCATAAAATCTGAGCTGCTCATTGTATTGATTGACCACTACCGCCGTTTGGCGTCGAATGTTCTAGACACTGACTTGATCTTCTGGCAAATACTGAATTTTGGCGAAGTAAGCTGAACAACCAAAAGCCAGCCCCTTCAGAACATGCTGTTGTACATTACGCTTTTATACAATATTTATATGATGAGCTACATTTTTGCGCCTGTTGTACAGTACCGGGATTAAATGTCAACGCGCTCGCACAGTGTTTGCCGGTGATAAATGTTTTGGCGAAAGAGATGACGTCAACTGATATAGGGTAGAACGTGCAGAAACGGCGGTTTCGCGTTTTGGGTTGCAGCGTACGCTAGCGCATCTGGCGGCTGACTGTAGAACCTGTCCAATCAGAGTGCACAGCGGGTTTCTTCTTCCCACTTCTGATTGGCAGGCTTGTATGCGGGGGAGGGACTTTTCGCTGCTTCCTCAGGGCTTCATCGTCGTGCAGTGAATAACTACTGATGGATTGGCAACGGCTGTTTTTGCAGGTTTGCAGGAAAGCTCGAGTTCTCTATAGCTTTTCGTTGCGATGTGTGTCAACTTGAAAACGGCTTGATCAGCGCTGACTGGTCGGCATCTGGTTTCGCTAACGATCGAAAGGGTAAAAAACGCTGCTGCCACAGTCGTCCGACTACTGCTCATCGTTTCGCGGTCACAGCCATTGCTGGAAGCAGCAACGAGGACTTCAGTCTGTAGCTGGTCGTTGAAGTAAGTCGGAGAAAAAGCATGAGCTGGCGTTGCAGCGGTGCTTCAGCCTTTGACTATGTTTAAAAAAAACACCGTTTCTCCACGAATTGAAGTCGGTTCGCGTCGCTTTCGCTCCTGGTCACAGCAGTTTACCTCGAATAGCTCGCCTTTATACCCTCCAAACGGTTTTTAGTGCCTCTAAATTACAGCCGCCATCGGTTTTTTGCCTCTGCTTAAGGGTCGACGTCGCGCTGCAAAGAAAAACCACTCCCTTGCGTTATTGTGTCGTCTACCAATGTTGAACTCAATTTTGAACAGGACAGACTTGCAGCCCCCCCCCCCCATAAATCTGATGGCTGCTTGCCAATGTCTAATTTCTGCAGATGCTCCACGGTCGTCATTAAATTTAAACATGAATCACGAAGATATCTCGTTACATTGTCAGTAAGTTAAAAATCAGCATAAAATGGCTTGTTGATGAGCAACGCAAAAATATGGTCACGGGTACCGACATTTTGGCCCAAGTCCCATTGGCCTTCTTTAAGCGTAAAAGTCTGATTCATTGACTTTAGAAGTCCTGTTATCGTTCGCAACGCTTAGACGGGTTGAAGCAAGCAAGCAAGGTTTTGGTCGTTGTTGCTTTTTAAATTGGTTCTGGGCGACAGGGCGTCAAGACTCATCCAATCTATTTCGCGCAGAGGTCATGTCATCTGTAGTGGTTGTAACATAACTGTGCAATCAGTATCTATTTAGGATGATTGCGGTGCACTCTGACCACTTGGTCTTCTTCCCAGCTGTTTCGCTCTTACGTATCTCTCATTCTCGATCATTCATCTCTCCAGGGGCAGAGGGTCTTTTTGCTTTGAATGGCGGTGTTCCCTATTTCTCCTGTCATATTTCGCACAGTTACATAACAGTGTGTAAACGCAGCCGATTCTCAGTTACTATTTTCAGAATTACTTAGCAATGTATTAAGTCTAATAGAGCGTTTGTATATTGCGTTAATATTATATTTAGCGTTAAGCTACTTTCGAATTTTTCAGTAAATTATTATATGGTAGAATTAAGTAAGTTTTTAAATTCATATTCTCTCACCAGCGACAGACTAAGCATAACCAAGTAGCTATGTCCTACAAATGTTTAATATCCGTGATCTCTCGCACTGTTCTGCTTGTACCATAACAGTGGGTTTATGGCAGTTTTTTAGTAGCCCTTCTGTGAGCTTCACGTTGTCCAAGCTCGTCCTAATTGATTTTAGAATGAAGCCATTGGCAGATATAGGAACTGGTGTTATACACACTGTCTTTAGCCGACATACCTGCTTCAGATCGATTGTCATCTTTTGATATTGTCTTACTTTCTCCACCTACGATTTTTGTTCGTTTTCATCCAATGAATCAGCAACGTAAATTATTCCAGCTGTCCTGTTATTGCGATCGAGGATTAAAATGTCCGAACGATTGAGATCAGTCGCAGGATCGAGATGTACGGCACGTTGGTCTTTTTCAAGCTCTTTCTCCGGTACCGATCGTAGGGGTCGTTTCTCGAACGAGACCTTTCTCAAGTGTCAATTATTGGTGCGAATGAGTGGGTGAGTGAGTGAGTGAGTGGGTGAGTGAATGAGAGAGTGCGTGCGTGCGTGGGTGTGACCTTAGGGACTCTGTGTTGCCAACTGATCAACTGAGTGTTAGCCAAAACGGAACAACCTGAGCAATCCGTTGCAACGATTCCGTTGTACTAGCGCACTTCGTGTATTTATCCAAGATGCTTTCCTTCATGATGTATTTCGCCTGTAATACTTCGTAAGCACCACTTAATCTTTTGTTGCAACGGTAAATGCTTTTGTTTCCGCGAACAGTCCTCCCTGTCGAAGACAAAAAGCGACTTTTCTACGTCTATTCCATCAGACGTGAGAGTAGCACCGTCACACGAATGAAAAACGTTTTTCTTTATCCATCACATTTGGATATCGCACTTCTCTTCTGTGCCGGATGATCGCTTTCATGTAACCTTGACGGCGTTTATCCTTTGTAGGCTTCTTCCATGGCTCTGTGTAAAGATGAATGTTTCGTCTGAAAGTATGCGAGAAGAATCTTTTCTTCTTTTTAGAGATCAGCAAAGCTCAGCGAACCATGGCTGTGCTTCCTTGGCAAATATAGCCATCCTACAGATGATTGCTCATGACCATGTGAAAATTCGTCAATGTTATCCTGCCCTTTTTTGATCAAGATGATTGAGAGAATTCTGGGACCATTTCAGGATTTCAAACGCATACAATAGCCTAGGTATTAACAGTCTTGATCTTATTTATAGAAAAAAGCTGTTTTTTTCAGGACCAACGGGAATATCTTGCTAGATGTCTTTATTGCATGTTTTTTACTTGCTTAAAGTCGACCAAAGAAGTTTCTACGGTTCCAGATATTTATGACATGCGTTCAGGCTTAATTCCTGAAGTTCTGTCTCGTCTTTGAAATCCGGGTTTATTGACTGCAGCGGCCCTGCACGTTTAAAGGCACAATTGCATATTTACCTCTCCAAATTCCATTTCGATTGACCTGCTATAGTTAGAACGAGCTCGAACTTGCATTTAAATTCTTTTCAGTTTCTGGCGTACAGTTGTAGGTCATCCATGTTGAAACGTTGGAAAATTCGTATTGTTACCCTTTTCGACAACTGAACTGCATCCTAAATTAATAATAACTTATTATGGAGGTTCAATATTAAGTAGAACTAAAGAGAACAGGCAGTCTCCCTGAAAGTTTTTTTGGCCTGCATTTTCTCGGTCTCGTACTTACGTGGATTTGTACTAACATACAGTTGAGTTCGCTATGAAGTGAGTCACCAAGGCAATGATATCGTTGTTCAACTTGTACATTCACATAACTTTCAGCAGCGAAGAATTAGATGCTGAGTCAAACGCTTTTTTATGATCAACCCATTCAAGTGAGATGCTAGTCTTACACTCAGAACTTGATTGGTAACAAGTGGATGCGTTATGAGCAGCTTGTTGAAACCTTGACTTCCTTGCCAGCGGCCATTTGTTTTTCTGTTAAGATGGCATTCGCAAGAAGATGCCATCTGATCTTCATCACCATTTCAAATGCCAAGAGCTTTAAGACTGTCGGTGGGCTAGTTATCGGCCAAACGCTCTTTGACTCTGTTGCGACCATGTGTTTAAGTAACAAATGTTGCTCCTTCAGTTAAGCCGCTTGGCGCGAGACTGGTATTTTCTAATATTGCCTCAACCTGTGATATCAGTACATTGTGCATGCATGTGAAATACATCCACAAGTAATTTTCGATGCCATCAACTCTAGGCGGTTTCCGGTTGAGCTTACTCAGTAGCTTCAACCATATCTTCAGGTTTGATCCGGTTAGATTGCATTATTCTGATGCTCCGCATGAGAATTACTACTTCCATTAGCCGTTTGGCTCCTGCGTCATGTTCGCATGGAAGTTCCCAGATTTTACTCCATTCTCTGTGCATCGCTGCTTGGTCCGGTGTTTTGGATTCCTGATTCAACGTTTCGAGCATCCAAAGAATTTTTTTATTATTGTTTCTGATCATATTGTTCCGGTATCTTCGTTTGATTGCCTTGTCATAAGGCTTAATTCTTTAGTGATTTTCTGTTTGGGAAATGTCGAACGTTCAGTAAAGCGAGGTAGGAGGTGTTTCTGGGACATCTGCAACCTCAAGTGCTTGCAATGAGTTTTAACTTTGAGACAACTTTTTTTCTTCCACGCATGGAATCTTTCAAGTAGCCTATTAAGACGCCACTTTCGGTATGCAGCTGTTTTATGTATTGACTGTATTTTATTAGGGTCACAATGATCTTACGTGCATGCCCAGGATGGTACAAACTTCAAATGCAGATGCATGGACAGGTGACACATTTCTTCCAAACTCTGAGTTTCTAGCAACTTCTTTTTGCCAACACCTTATTTGTTATTTTTGCGACGTTTATCGACCTGTAATTATACGGAATTTTTGGAATCTGTGGACGGTGGAGGTATTCCTTTTACTTTCATCCTGAAAGCAATAAAGATGCTTTCCACTAGCTTACAGCCCGTATCTTTCATCATTGTAGCTTTCTCATTGGCCTCCTCCATGTCTATAACTCCTTTATTGCTTGATGTTGCTCCTATTTCCACGTGTTCGTGTCTTCTCTTTTGGAAAGTTTGGCTTCATCCATTGCATCGTCAGTGTTATATTATCGATGGGCATAGTTTCGTGGTTCATTTCCTGTAAATCTCGTTCTTTATGTCCAATATCTGGTTTTCTGATAAGAACGTATGGTTGAAGATCACCCTAAATCGATCGGCCAGTCTCTGTTCAGTTGGTGTTGTTCCGGGACACATTTTCTTTCAGCTGGAATACATTATTTGATGTTAAACAGTCATTTCACCTCCGCACTCTGTAGCTCTTAGGTATACTCGGTCGGTTTTGCTTTTTTGCTCCATTTCATCCGAACGCTTTTGCTGATTATTAAGAGGTTCATGGGAATGTCTTTAAGACTTCGCTAAGGTTCCCTGTCCAGTATCTCGCTGATCGTTCTTTTCCTCGTTGTGGTAGCCGTACATAATGCTATTACTGGCAAACCTCCACCGCTGCCGTTTTCTGCCGACTCCACTGTATGCTGAGTGGCCATGACGACCCAAACCCCGTCACAAAGTCTGCGTCCCGGTCCAGCCCAGTTTATCCTGCGCGAATACCGGTGCAATATGACAGATTTTTGATTTCCTCATTCTTTTCTTCAAAATGGGTGGCAAACACTTGTGGCTACATTTTGTCTGGCCTCTCTACTGAAACCTGTTCAGCATGGGTGGCCTTACAAGAAGCCAAGTCTTTTTTTCGGCATAGCTTCCAGATTCATTCAAACTCGTAAGCCCCCACGGCCAATACATGGCTGTGATGACGGCAGGATCAGTAAAGATTATTATTTTTAGTGTTGCAAATTTATGTCGATTTCATCAGCGATAAATCAGCTTTAAAACTTACGAAGCAATCA